TTGAGGTCAAAACATTCAGTCGGTAAAACTAGCCTAGCCAAAACCTCACTGCTTTGATCACATTCTCCCTAGGGTAATGAAAATCGATGACCGGCGAAATCTAAAAGAGCAATCTGGGGGAGTGTATCGCATCCCATGCCTAAGGTGTCCCTGTAATTATACAAGTCTAGTTGAGCGCATCCTCGGATCGCGGACAAATGCACATATCCTGACTGTGCGAGGTGGCGAAGAATTTTCGCAGATTTCTGCTCACATCTACGAAACGAGCCATGAGTTATCTTCGCCACCGTCAAGATACTCGCCCACGCCGAAAAAAACGAACCGGTTATTGGTTTTATTGTTAGGAGTTGGGTTATTTTTTGGGTTTGGGTCGTCAGGTTTGAGGTGTGATTGTGGTTTGTGGTTAAGGGGTGAGCATTTATCTGCCTATATTTTAAGTGTAAGCAAACTATAACCCATCCTCAGCCAGGCTCAATTGCTGGTGGGCATTGAAACTATCTAAGGTAGGATGGGAACACATGCTTTGTCGTCCGTTTTAGTAAAGTCCAAAGTCTATGGGCCTTGTCTTCATCCAATTTCGCCTTGGATGCCAGACGAAATGGCTGACAACGGATATTCCAGTTGGAAGAATCGGTACTGAGTCTAGATAGCTGAGTGCTGTTTACAATATTACAGTCCGCGACGGCTCTATAACGGATCTATAAAGCAATAAGAAGTAACTTAATTCTGCCTTGCCACCAGACGGTAGCTACCTACATCTAAATAATTATAATAATACTAATAATTAGTATTTTAAAAAAGAGTTAATTTTGACTAATTTGAAAAATTTAGACAAGAGAATAGCAGGACATCTTTTTCACAAAACAGGGCAATTTTCATGTTTACCTTGGCGGACAGAAAACAATGTCGTCCACTTTCTTTGGTTAATGCCCGCTGCCTCAAAGTCATGCATCTTCGCAGGCAGCTGTTTTCAACTTAAGTTGAAAACAGCAATTGCTGATCTGAATAGCCTTGACCGCCCC